GGAAGACACTGGGAAGCGCTGACCCTGCCCAGTGCCAAGAGCTTGGGCAATGTCCCAGGGACATTTGCTGTCATTGGGACTGTCTCACACTTGGGTTGTCACGCACCTGGAGGTCACGGTCCCACTGCTGCTTGCCAGCCAGAAGTGCATCCAAGACAGCCCGCATGCCCTCTTCCTTGTGCTGGTCCTGGCCACTGATGACGTAGCAGAGCGCACGCACCCTCCGGAAGAACTCCTTGTCCACCAGGCGGGCACTGCCCCCGCTGGGCAAGTAGGCCAGGTCGAGGTAGACGGGGGAACTCGGCGGGGCCAGTGACCCTCCTGGCCGACTGCCAGCTGACCCTGTGGGTAAGAGGGATGGGGTCAGTCGTGAGCTCTGGGGACAGGGAGGGGCTGAGACCCAGGGCCCGGGACAAGGCTCCCAGCTCCACCTGCACCTCTCTGAGTGGCTCCCTCCCTGGCAGGAAGCCTGATCTCCGTTTTATGGTTGACAAGCTCTCCCTGGCTTGTCCTGCAAACACCCCAGCCAACCCCTCAGTGCCTGGACACTCCCTGGCCAGTCCCTGGACACAGACATCCCCAGGGCCTGAGGGAGGGGGTAGCCAGGGAGGGCTCCCTGGAAGAGGGGGTTTTAGAGCTTGAGTTCCTAAAGCAGCAGTACCTGGAATTCTCAGCAGCATCCACCTGTTTAGTTACTCAAGGGGAGTCAATCGGGCATTTATCAAACTCTCCTGGGCACCGCACCCTGGGGACACGGCAGTGACCAAAACAAACAAAAATCCCTGCCCTCAAGGTTGACAGGGAGCCAGAGTGGGTGTAGGAAGGAGAGCTGAGAGAGGGTGATGTAGGCTGGGCAGCCTGGATGGAGCTGGGGCAGCTGCGCTCAGGGCCTTGTCCATGCCCTGAACCCAAAGCCTGTGCAAGGGGGACAAGGTCACCATTCCTGGGCCAGTGAACTCATCAACTGATTGAGGATGTAGCCAGGTCTTGGCCACAGGAAGCCTGCCAGGTGCTTGGTGTCTTAAGATCATAGACGTTGCCCAGTCCAGGGTGTGGGCCCAGAAGGCTGCTGGGGCATTTGCAGAATGAAATCCCCAGCTTTGGGCAAGGAGCGCCCCTCACTCATAACTGGGGACAGTGGTGTCGAGGACCCTGAGTGGTGCCCCAGGAAGGGAAAGCCACCGTGGCTGTGGAAGACGAGAGGGGGACAGGAGCAGCAGAGGCAGAACAGCAAAGTGAAGACAAAGGGAATGTGGACAGAAGCCATGGGGCAGGAGGACAGGGGTAGAGCAGGGACTGGCAAGCTATGGCCTGTGGGCCAAATATGGCAACTGCCTGCTTCTGGAAATACAGTTTTACTAGAACACCCACTGAGTACTTACTGAGCTGTTTTTGCGCTACAACACCTAGCTGAGTGAGTAGCTAGCTGAGTAGCTGAGAGAGAGAGACCATCTGTCCTACAAAGCTGAAAATGTTTACCCTCTGGCCCTTTAAGACAGGATTTGCTGACACTCATGTCGATGGTTTATCAGAAGCAGTGGGAGCAGGAGACCCTGAGTGGCCAAGACTGTGGCCTTTGGAAAGAGGCCAAATGCCCAGGAAGAGAAGGTCTCAGATGATCCCCAGCCTCCGGGTGCCAGCCTTGCCCATGGGCCCTAGGGGCCACCCTCTCTCTCTCCCTGCCACCGTGCTGGGAGCCCCTGACCTGCCAAAGGTCACAAGGGCCCATCAGATGCCTCTCTTGGAATCTGCCCAGGAAAGACAAGAAGTGGTGGCTCAGGGGGGCGCTGAGGCTAGAAGACAATCAAGAGACCAGGGTGGCCAGGAGCTGAGGACAAGCCACATGGGGAGAGAAGCTGGAGATGCCTGTTGGCTCCCGGAGGGCAGGACCACCCCAGGCAACTAGAATAGGGCTCAGTCCAGAGCAAGCGCTCAGTGAACATGACCCGGAGTTATTATGACTGTCATCGTTGTCGCTGCTTTCTCACCAGCCCTCTCTTGGTAATTCTAGACCTGCTCTGACTGATGCAGTGGCCACCAAGCACTGGAACGTGGTGTGAGCCAAGACATGCTGCGAGTGCAAACCACGCACCAGGCTCCCAAGATGTAGTGTGGAAAGAGAAAAGGGATCTAGTAATATTTTATATTGATTACATGCTGAAATATCATTTTGATATAGTAGTATGCAGGAAAGAATTAACACAGCAGGATTCTGGGACGATGGTATAGTAGGAAGCTCCAAGAATCTGCTCCCCGTCTAAACAGTTGTGCTGGCAGCCCCTCAGCATAAGTCTGAAGCAACTTACATGGGACTTAAAGGACTGTAAGTTTCTTCTTCTTTTCTTCCCCCTTCATTTTTTTTCTTTTTCCCCTTTTGGGAGCCAAACATTTAAGCACTAGGACACTCAAAAGCAGCTACTACATAGGGGAATTTAGAAAGCAACCACAGATGCCCAGCAAAAGGTACAGGATCAGAGAAGACATGAGAACACCCTAAGTTTACACCGCAGACTGATCCCCAGCACAGAGACAGCCCACAATAATCAAACAAAGAGCCACAGCAAACCCTGGGGAAGGGGGAATTTTGGATCTCAAGTTATCACTTTACTAGATTCAAATGTACAGTTTTCAATAAAAAAAAATCACAAGGTACATAAACAGGAAAGTATGGCCCAGTGAAGGGAAAAAAATTTAACAGAAACCGTCCTTAAGAGAGACCAAATGGTGGACTCACCAGAGAAAGACTTAAAACACTGTCCTAAAGATACTCAAAGAACTAAAGGAAGATGTGGAAAAAGCCAAGAAAACAATGTATGGAAAAAATACAAATATCAATAAGGAGATAGAAAACATAAGAGTAAATGAAAAGAAATCCTGGAGCTGGAAAGTACAATAACTGAAATGAAAAATTCGCTAGAAAGATTCCACTCAAGGTTTGAACAAGCAGAAGAATCAGTCGTCTTGATGACAGGGCAATGGAAATTATTGAGTCTGAGGAACAGAAAGAGAAATAATTGAAGAAAGTGGACAGAGCCTAAGGGACCTATGGGATACTATCAAGAGGACCAACATACACATTATGGGAGTCTCAGAAGAAAAAAGAGAGAGAAAGGGCCAGAAAGATTATTTCAAGAAATAATGGCCAAAATCTTCTTACATTTAATGAAAGACAAGAACATAAACATCTAAGAAACTCCATGAACCCCAAATAGGATACATTCAAAGAGAACCAGACTGAGACACATGATAATCAAATTGTTCAAAGATAAAGACAAAGAGAATCTTTTTGTGGGAAAGGAGTGATAAAGGGGACGTTTATAGCTATAAACACTTTTATTAATATCTCAGATCAACAGCCTAACTTTACAACTTAAGGAACTGAAAAGAGAAGAACAAAAGTAAATGCAAAGCTAGCAGAAGGAAGGAAATAAAGATTAGAGCAAAGATTTTTTTTTTTTTTTAATTTATTTGTTTATTTGGCTGTGTCGGGTCTTAGTTGTATTGTGCAGGCTTAGTTGCTCTGTGGCATGTGGGATCCTAAGTTTCCTGACCAGGGCTCGAACCCGCGTCCCCTGCATTGGGAGGCGGATTCTTAACCACTGGACCACCAGGGAAGGCCCCTAGAGCAAAGATTTTAATAGAGTAGAAAAACGACACAGAAGATCAGCAAACCCAAAAGTTGGTTCTTTGAAAAGATTAACAAAATTGACAAATCTTTAGTCAGACTGACTAAGAAAAAGAGAGAAAGAGCGAGGGAGAAGGGGCAAGGGAACCGGGAGTGGCCGGCGGGCGGGAGGCGGTGGCAGGTGCCCATTGTCCGGCGGGAGCTGCGCGGAAGCCCCGCACCTCCCCGCGCCCTTCACCTACTCCAGGGGCGCACGGCCCAATGGGCCAGTGCGGACGGGGGTCTCCTGGAGGCCTTGCGCCCGGAACCGCCCGCGGGGCTTGGGCGTGGCGCGGGGTCGCGCTCCCAGGCTCCTTCCACTTCCGCTGGGAGCTGGCTGTGGGCTAGGGCGCTGGGGCGCGCGGGGGGAAGAGCTGACTTTTAGGTTGAGACCCAGAGGACGAGGAACGAGGGCAGCAAGTTGGGAGGGGGAAGCAGGCCAGGCAGAAGTTGCCGCAGGGTCTGAGCGGGGGGGGGGGGGGCTGGGAGGGGGGCCAGAGGCAGCGGGGAGGAGCTCGGGCCACCATGCGACAACAAGGCGTTCACCAAGGAGCTGGACCAGTGGGTCGAGCAGCTGAACGAGTGTAAACAACTTAACGAGAACCAGGCTAAGGAAATTTTAACAAAAGAATCAAATGTGCAAGAGGTCCGTTGTCCTGTTACCGTCTGTGGAGATGTGCATGGTCAATTCCACGATCTTATGGAATTCTATAGAATCGTTGGGAAATCACCAGATACAAACTATTCATGGGTGACTATGTAGACAGAGGTTATTATTCTGTGGAGACTCTGACTCTTCTTGTGGCATTAAAGGTGCGTCATCCAGAACATATTACAATATTGAGAGGAAACCACGAAAGCCGACAAACTACCCAAGTATATGGCTTTTATGATGAATGTCTGTGAAAGTATGGAAATGCCAATGTTTGGAAATACTTTACAGATCTGTTTGATTATCTGCCACTTACAGCTTTAGCTGATGCACAGATATTCTGCCTCCATGGTGGCCTCTCCCCATCCATAGATACACTGGACCATGTAAAAGCCTTGGATCGTTTACAAGAAGTTCCACATGAGGGCCCAATGTGTGATCCGTTATGGTCAGATCCAGATGATCATGGTGGGTGGGGTATTTCACCACGTGGTGCTGGCTACACATTTGGACAAGATATTTCTGAAACATTTAACCATGCCAGTGGTCTCACACTGGTTTCTCGTGCTCACCAACTTGTAATGGAGGGATACAATTGGTGTCACGATCGGAACGCAGTGACCATTTTCAGTGCACCCAATTAAGTGCACCCAACGATAATTAAGTTATCGTTGTGGGAACCAGGCTGCTCTCATGGAATTAGATGACACTTTGAAGTATCCCTTCCTTCAGTTTGACCCAGCACCTTGTCGTGGAGAGCCTCATGTGACCCAGTGCACCCCAGACTACTTTCTGTAAATTCCTCCTGGGAAAACCTGCCTTTGTATGTGGAAGTACACCTGGCTTTTAAATATATATATATATTTAAAAACAAAACCAAAAAAAGCAACAGTAATCTATGTGTTTCTGTAACAAAATGAGATCTGTCTTGGCATTAAACCATATCATGGACCAAACTGTACCATACTAATGATGAGCATTTAGCACAACCTGAGACTGAAATTAGTTCAACACTATGTTCTAGAT